GCGCTGCATCCTCGGCCCTTCTGCAATCGCGGCGGACAAGGTCGCCGCGGGCATGCCGCTTGTCGTCCTGGGCCTTCAGGTCCGCGCAGACCACGGCGGTTTCTCGTGCACCCCCTCGCCCGACAAGGTCAAGAAGTGGCGCGGTCGCATTGGCGACGCGCTCTCCTCGGGCGTTTTGCGACCAGGGGACGCGGCAAAGCTTGCGGGCGCCCTGATGTGGGCATGCTCGGGCATGTTCCAGCGCATAGGGCGCGCGCTCATCCGGCCCTTGTTCGCCCACTCGAAGCAGTGCGGCGTGGTGGTGCCGCAGCAGCTGCGCGTCGCACTAGAATGGTGGGCAGAAGTCTCAGCGCTGGAGCTCTGCGAGACCCGTGTCTGGGCACCAGACCAGCGCGAGGCAGCGCAGCTCTTTGTCGACGCGCGCAGCACGCCGCCCCGCGTCGCGGCTGTGCTCTTCCTCGACGGGCGGGCCTCCTACTCCGATTGGGCCCCCCCCGATTGCGTTCTGCGCCATTTCAAGCAGAGGGCAGAGGGGCGATGCGCAGATTATGTCCTTCGGGCTTCTAGCGATCGCGTTTGGCCTTTCCGCGTTCAGCGACGCGCTTGCGGGCAGGCGCGCGCGCCTCTGGTTTGACAGCGTCGGTGCCGAGGCCGCCGCGCGGAAAGGCGCCTCCAAAGAGTGGGACTATACGTGTCTGATCAATTCGTTGTGGCTGCAGGCGGCGCAATTGCGCGTCTCGCTCCGCGTCGACCGCGTCTCCTCGAAGCTTAACGTTGCCGATTTGCCGTCGCGGGCGCAGTGCTTGGTCCTTTGCGTGATCGGCGCTTCTTTCGTGCAGCCGCGTCTTAGCGAGGCATTCTGGAATCCCGATGCCTGGGCATCTCTTTCGGCTGCGCGGGCGCCGCTGCGCTGCGCGTGAGCGACTGTCGGCCGACAGTTCGGCTTGCGCGCCAAATCCTGTTGCGCCGGCGTGCGTGTCAAAATGTTGTTTTACTTGTTTTCGCGTTGCGTCCGCGTTGGTCGCGCGCAGCGCAGCCGCTCCACGTGCGCTCGGCAGACAGGGCTCGGCGGCAGAAGGATTGCTTGGCGCGCGCCGACCGTCGAAACGGCAATGGCCGGGCACGCCGCTTCCATGCGAGTCTTCCTGGAGAGAGCCGCAGGCCCTGGCATGCGCGATGCGGCGTGGTTCGATGCGATCGCGGCGGCGCTCGCTGCCGAAAGCGCGTCGCGCCCGTCCGCGCTCGCCGGGGCCAAATTCAGAGACTTCCAGTTCCTGGGGGCGGACCTCGACGGCGGCCAAAAGCGGTGCATTCGGGAAGCTATCGCACTCGCGACAAGCGTTCAGGATCGCGCATTTCGCGCCGCGAACCAGCTGCATCGCGCCCGCGCGCGCGCAGGAGGTGGAAGACCAAGTCCAGAGGCCGGCGCCGGCGCGGGCGCAGGCCGCCGGGGGCGTTGCCGTCGAAGCTCTCCTCGAGTCAAGGGCTGCGGAGGCGCAGGGGGCCCGCGCGCCGCAGTGCGGCGGGGGCCCGCGTGCGGAGCTCCGCAATCTTCGCCGGCGGCTCGACGGCGAGGAAGGCCCAGCGTGCGTTGCTGAGTGGCTGTCTTCGGCCCGCGCAGCGGCCATCCTGGGCGCACGCCCGCGCTCCATCGCCACTTTCAAGAGCGGCGTGGCAGCGTGGTTCGCGTTCGCGCGCGAGGCTCTTGCGCTGCACGGGCGCGAGCTGCCGCCGTCCGCTGACGGGTTGCTCGCGCGGTCGCTGCTGTTTCGCTCCGACCAGACTTTTTCCAATTATGTCTCTCACGTCAAGCTGGCTTGTCAGGTTTGCGGTCTCCCTGTAGACGTTTTTCGTGACACGCCCCTTCGCCGCGCCAAATGCGCGATTCGCAAGCGCGGCGCTTTCCTGCCCAGGGCGCCTCTATTCATCGGGGAGGACGCCGTTTGCGCGCTGCTAAATCTGGCAAAAGAGCGGCACGAGTCCGCCGTCTTCGCGCAGCTCTTTCTTGTCACGCACGTGTTTCTCTTGCGCCTTCCCTCGGAGGCCCTGGGCATTTCGTTCGACGGCGTAGCCTTTCGACAGGGCACAGGGGCTTCACTCATTCTGTGCGACGGCTTCCTGCAGCTCAAATTGGCGCGCCGCAAGAACAAGCAAGTCGGGTCCGTGCTCCAGCGGGCGTGCTGGTGCGTGCGCTGCACCAGGACGTGCCCGGCCCACGCGCTCGGCGCATGGTTCGCGGGCCTGCCCGTGGGCACCCGGCCGTTCGCGGACATTTGCGCGGCAAGCTCGCTAAGCACGCTGCGCTTTCTCCTCGGCCAGCTCGGCGTCAAAGACGCGGCGCTCTATCGCACGCGCGACCTGCGGCGCGGGCACGCACTGGACCTCCAGCAGAGGGGGGGCACCTTGCGCGAGATCCTTCAAGCGGGCGAATGGTCCTCGCCCGCGTTCCTGTCGCATCTCGATATGACGCAGCTAGAACTCGGCGCCGTGGTCGAGGCGCACCTGGCTGAGTCCGAGGACGAACTTGCCTAAGCAATGGCGACCCAGGCGTCGCGCGATGCCCTCGCGCGTTCGCTTCCGCCGCTGCGTGTCACAACACCGCGGCGCCGCCGCGCGCATCGCACGTTTCGCAAGGGGTGCGCGTGCCGCGCGCGTCGCCGCCGCGCGGTGCACCAGCATGCATCGGCTGGGGGTACTTGCATCCCTGGCGCCCCCGCGCGTCGGCTCAGACTGGCACCGCCAGGCTGGGCGGCGCGGGGGGTGCCGCACCCCTTGTCGAGTGGGTGCGGGCACCCTGGGGTGCGGGAGGCTTCTGGCGCAGCTGAAATTTGTGGTGGGCGCCCAACGCCATCGAAAGCGCGCGCGCTCGCTTGCGCTGCGTTGTGCGCGGGCACAAATTTCGCGCCCGCGCCTGGCCCGCGTGCAGGCGGGCGAGCAGGGCGCGCGGGCCGCCCCCCGCTTTCCTGCGCCTCGCGGCGCGCGGCCCCGCGAGAAGGGTCCGCGCGCGCGAGGGGGGCGACAGCATGTGCCTCGCGGCGCGCGGCCCCACGCGAAGGGCCCGCGCGCGCGCGCGAGGGGGGCGACGGCACGTGCCTCGCGGCGCGCGGCCCCGCGCGAAGGGCCCGCGCGCGCGAGGGGGGAGCGACGTCATGCGCGTTGCTCGTTTGCTCTTCTGCTCGCTTCGCGTCGAACGCCCCGTGCAGGCGCGCCGCGGGGTCGCGTCGGGGCGGATCGCGGCGCGCCTCGGGGTCGCGCGGTGCGCAGGCATTGGTGCTTGCATCCTGCAGGCATGTGCGCTTGCGCCCCGCCGTGGCGGGCGGCGCGCGCGCTTGCTGGCATCCCTGGCGCCCCCGCGCGTCGGCTCAGACTGGCACCGCCAGGCTGGGCGGCGCGGGGTGCCGCACCCCTTGTCAAGTGGGTGCGGGCACCCTCGGGTGCGGGAGGCTTCTGGCGCAGCTGAAATTTGTGTTGGTTGTCAATTCGAAGAAATTCTCTCGACCTCCCCCCCTCCCGCGGGCGCTCGGCGCCACTGAGCTGGCTGACTGCGCTGAGGTGCATGTAGATCCTCTCGGACAAAACAAGAATCCATGTTTGTTTTAGTTGTTTGTTCGGAACAATTCTCTCGACTTCCCTCCCTCGCACGGGGCGGACGCCGCGCGGAGCGGACGCCTCGGGCGTGGGGCGGCGATCTTTCCCCCGCCGGCCCTGCCGCTCCGCCCTGATACCCCCCTCCTCTCCAGTTTTTTTCCTCTGCGAAGAGCAGCGCGACGTGGACACATTCTCGCCAGGCCCGCGCGGTTTTCTCGGACCGGCGCTGGCCCCGCGCCGTCCGCCCTCCGATCCCCTCTCTTCCCCTCCGTTTCGACGAAACGAGGCACGACATGGACACACACACACACACACACACACACACACACACACACACACGCTTTCGGAGGCCCGCGCGGCTTTCTCGGATCGGCGCTGGCCCCGCCCCGTCCTCCCCCCGAGCAGGGAGAGCGGCATGACCGCACAGCTTCAGAGGTCCGCGCGGATCCCCTGGATCGGAGCTGGACCCCAGCAGCGCCTCCAGCCCCTGGCGCGCTCGGCCTTCCAGGGAGGGGGGCTCCAGCGCAGATCAAACAAACACGCGCGGCCCTCAGACAGGTTCTGCTTACCCAGCCTCCGTCATGTGCCGCCAGCAGTCAGCCACGCGCAGAGGGGGGTGGGGGGAGGGGGGAGGGCTTCTTAGAAGCACCCCTGCTTCTGAGAAGGCGAGGGCCTCATCTATAGATGTAAGGCCGGCGCCTTCTAAGAAGCAGCCTCCTTCTAAGGAGCCCCCCCCCCCCCCCCCACCCCCTTGTGCGCGCCGCCCAAGACAGTGCAGGATCGCCCCAGGTCGAGCGGGCCAAGATCGGGAGGCACCGCATGCTTTCCTCTCGGGAGCCCCGCAGGCGCTCCCGGCCAAGGGCCCCAGACGGCAGCGGGCGAGCGCGAGCGCGGAGCGAGAGACCGAGAGGGGCAGAAGGAGAGAGAAAGAGAGAGAGAGAGAGAGAGAGAAAGAGATCAGAGAAGGAACAGGTGCACCTGCTGCTACCCCCGCCCCATTCTCGCCTTTTTGTGCCTCCCTGGAGGCCCTCGTCGTCACCGCTGGATGCGCCTCGAAATTCTCGTCAACACGCACCCCCGGGAGAGGTCCCAGGAGTAGCGGTATTGGTATTGTTTGGCTTCCCCGAGAGAGAGAGAGAGAGAGAGAGAGAGAGAGAGAGAGCACGCAAGCAGACGGGGCGGCTGGATGGCATGCTGCGGGAGTGCTTGCACCTCTTCCTTGTCCGCCCTTGCCTGGCGGGGCTCGGGATAGTGTATCTGCCGCCCCTCTGCTCTTCCTCCCTCCTCCTCACTCCTCCTCTCGCCTCCTCCCTCCCTCTTTAGATTCCTCGTCATTCCTTCTCCTCCTCCCTCCTGCCCTGCCCCTCCCTCTTCTCCCATGCTCCCCATTGGCATCTTCGTTTGTGCCCGAGGAGCTTATAGCTGCAAAGCTCGCGCGGGTAGAGGTGGTGATTGAAGCGTCCACTGGTGACTTCAACTGCACCGACGAGCAGTGCAACTGCGGGGGCGACAACATGTCGCCGCGGGAGATGTTCCTGCACAATCCGCACCAGATGCTGCACCCCCGGAATAAGCAGGTTCCCGTGGTAGATACGCCGTTCCTGACTCTGGAGGTCGCTCTCCAGATCTGTGGAGGAGCCTGGAGGAAGCCAACACCTCCAGAATGGAGGCTTCGACCTCCTGGGATGCGCAAGACATGGGCTCCTGGAGGTGTTGCCTCGATTCAGGAGCGTATGGCCCACTGTAAAGTAGTGTTATGTACGCATGAGCACTTTGACAAGGGCGCCCTCGAGGGCGCGAAGTTTTTCGCGCTTCGCGGTTCGGCTCCGATTCCTCCTCATCCTCCTCTTCTCCCCTGGGAGGCGGCGCGAGAGCGCGAAGTTTTTCGCGCTTCGCGCAGCGCGAAGCACGAAGTGGGGAGCTCTTGTTTGAACTCCAGGGTGGAAGCTTGGAGGCGAAGACCCGAGATACCCTCTACTGGCGAGGCTTGGGGCGGCGCACAGGCAGCCCCGTGAGGTGTGCCAGGACGACCTCAAGAGACCCCAGGGCAGGAGGAGGAGGAGGAGGAGGAGGAGGAGGAGGAGGAGGAGGAGGAGGAGGAGGAGGAGTAGGGGCAGTCCGGGGCGATTTCGACAAAGTGTGCAGTTCCGTCAAAGAGTGGGGGGGCCTGGTACCTTCCAGACGGGCTGCGTCTGACCCCCCCCCGCCGGGAAGCCCTCCAAGACAGCCCCAAGTCAGACCGCACACAAGTCAGAGCCCCTCCACTTTAATCACGGAGTTGAGGGCATCCCTGGGGAGCCAACTGCTGTCCTGTGCGCAGCTGCTAATCCCAAGACTGCCGAGGACCGCCAGATACCGCCGAAGACCCTCGAAGGTCGCTGGATAACAAGGGGGCAGTGGTCGGAGACCCCAGGCTATCCCATGGGGGCCTGTTGCGGCCAGGAGGGGCAACTTGCCTCTCGCGGCTGCCTGTGTGCACTACCGGGCCTGGGCTCCAAACGCATCCCATGGTTTCCATACAAGACCCCCAGAGAGTCTCGGAGGCCTCCGACGCCCCCCGAAGACCGACAGAGACCGCCGGCCGATGGGCAAGCATCGGCCCGAATGCCACCGAGGGTCGCCGACGGGCCAGAAAACCACCGAGTACCACCGGACATCCCCGAAGACCACCGAAGGCCGCCGAAGGCTGATGGCCAGATGGTCCAACACCCTTGGGACTGTCCTGGGAGCCTGGCCGCGTCAGTCGGGACTGGGGCTGCCTGGTGCACCCCCATGCCCTCGGCATCGCTCGGACGTGTGCATTTTCTCTTCGGCGAGGACCATCGAGGAGCATCCTCAATCATTTGGCGAAAAAACCACGCACGAAACCGAAAAAAGCACAGTGAATGGACGTCCGAGCGATGGCGAGTGCCCTGCCACGAGATCCGCCCCAGAATGGCGCGCAGCTGCTGGACAGCACTCCGAGGTGAGAAGACGGGACCAGCGAGAGAACCTCCGGCGACCTCCGAAACCCAGCACCGCGTCGGGGATCTGGGGCCTCAGAGGATCGAGGACGGAGGGTCGAGGAGGGAGGATTGAGGAGGATGGACCCTGAGATCCGACGTCGCGAAACAATGGCAGCATCGCGGCACGATCACGACCCGAGCCCCCTCTTCCTGCGGCACCTGTCGAGCCGGCTCGATCTGTGAGTGCCCAGGGGCCCGACACCGGGCGAAGACACCCGGTGCGAACAAATCGCAGCGCCCCGATCTCAGGCGAGGATCGGGGAGGATGGAGGATCGAGGAGGATCGAGAGGTCTGGGATCGAGGAGGGCGCAGAGAGGCTCGGGGCCCCCCTCTCGGGAGGAGGCCCTGCCGACGAGCCCGGCGGCCTCGAGGCCGCCCAGGAGGCCTTGCTGCCCATCCTCCGCCGGCGCTTCGCGCAGCCTGGCCCCGCGGGGCCAGCGTGGAAGGAG